GCCTGTAATCCCAGAACTTTGGGAAGCCAAGGTGGGTGGATCACCTGAGGTCAAGAGTTTGAGACCAGCCTAACCAACATGGTGAAACTCAGTCTCTACTAAAAATACAAAAAAATTATCTGAGTGTGGTAGTGTGTGCCTGTAATCCCAGCTACTTGGAAGGCTGAGACATGAGAATCTCTTGAACCCGGGAGGCGGAGGTTGCAGCAAGCTGAGATTGCGCCACTGTGCTTCAGCCTAGGTGACAGAACAAAACTCCATCTCAGAAAAAAAATAAAGAAATATAGTCAAATGGTATATGACTAGACAGAAGAGATGACAGAAAAGGAAATATGGGCTGGGCACGGTGGCTCACGCCTGTAATCCCAGCACTTTGGGAGGCTCAGGCAGGAGAATCACAAGGTGAAGAGATCGAGACCATCCTGGCCAACATGGTGAAACACCGTCTTTAAAAAAAAAAGAAAAAAAGAAAAAGGAATATGGTTGACCCATAATCATATTAAAAAAAGGATGTTATATATCATTTATAGTATAACTATACCAAGTTAATATTTTTCTTTCTTTCTTTTTTTTTTTTTTTTGAGACATGGTTTCACTCTGTCACCCAGGCTGGAGTGAAGTGGTGCTACCAGGGCTCACTGCAGCCTCAACTTCCCAGGCCCAAATGATCCTTCCACCTCAACCTCCCAAGTAGCTGGGACTACAGGCATGTATCACCATGCCCAGCTAATTTTTGTATTTTTTGTAGAGATGGGATTTCACTGCATTGTCCAAGCTGGTCTTGAGCTCCCAGGCTCAAGCAGTCCGTCTGCCACAGCCTCCCAAAGTGCTGGGATTACAGGCCTGAGCCACTGCACCTAGCCTTTCATTGCTAATGTTGGTAAAAATCTTAAAGTGTGACAGTATACTCTGGGCAACAAGTAATTACATGTTACTGTTAGTGGTTGTAGGGCAATAAGTAATCATATATTACTGTTAGTGGTATGAAAAGGTACAGTTGTCATAGAGGACAGCTTGGTAATATTCATCAAAATTAAAATTGCATTAATCCTTTAACTTAGCAGTTTTACTTCTGGGAATTTATAGCTGTCCCTGCTCTTTAATGAAATAGCATGTGCAGATGACCATTTATTTCAGCATTTTTTTGTAAAAATAGCTAAAAACAGCCGGGCGCGGTGACTCACGCCTGTAATCCCAGCACTTTGGGAGGCCGAGGCGGGTGGATCACGAGGTCAAGAGATCGAGACCATCCTGGTCAACACGGTGAAACCCTGTCTCNTTTTTTTTGACACAGAATCTCACTTTGTAGCCCAGGCTGGAGTGCAGTGGCACAATCTCGGCTCACTACAACCTCCACCTTCCAGGTTCTAGCAATTCTTGTAGCTGGGATTACGGGTGTGCGCCACCCCACCCAGCTAATTTTGTATCTTTAGTAGCGACAAGGTTTTGCCATTTTGGCCAGGCTGGTCTTGAAGTCCCGACCTCAAGTGATCCATCCACCTCTGTCTCCCAGAGTGCTGGTGTCCAGCCAGTTTGTTCTGTTGACTTTTTTATTGCTGTTATATGTAAGGTGGGAAGGAGAGGCTGTAGTTTCTAGCATTTTTTTTTTTCTTATTATGTGGTAGAGTTTTTTTTTCCTGTCTCCATTATTGCACCTGTTTGCAAAACGGTAGATGTGACTAGAAAAAGGAGTAGTCATATTAAGATATTAATAGTGATTACCTCTGAATGGTACCTTATTTTTATTTTCTTCTGTTACTATATTTAGAAATATATTTCACAGACAGTTTTGTTGACATGATTTCTAATTCACTAGGTAACTAGGTTTTTGGATCTTACTTTCAAGTACTTATTCCCTATTTTAATGTAGAGAAAGAACACTTTCATTTGAGTAATAAAGTAAGCTTTATTGCCTTAATATCTTTGCAGGGTTTAAAGAGATTGTTCTTTAGCTGATAGAAAACAGCTCAAATCATGCAGTTTCATGGGACCTCTTATCTTCTTCAGAGCTGTCACAGTAGGATGGGAACCCCAGATAACTTTTGTCTAGTAGTTTTTTTTTGAGACAAAGTTTCACTCCTGTTGCCCAGGCTACTGGAGTGCAATGGCACAATCTCAGCTCACCTCCCAGGTTCAAGTGATTTTCCTTCCTCAGCCTCTCAAGTAGCTGCAATTATAGGCATGCGCCACCATTCCTGGCTAATTTTGTATTTTTAGTAGAGACAGGGTTTCTCCCTGTTGATCAGGCTGGTCTCAAACTCCCGACCTCAGGTGATCCACCTGCCTCAGCCTCCCAAAGTGCTGGGAGCCACCACGCCTGGTCTCTTGTCTAACAGTTTTTCTACTTACTACCATCTGTATCATTGTATACATTTTTGCCTTCATATTGTATCTCCATTCTAGACCGTATATTTTATTCTCCAACAGTAGGAGTACTTGTCATAATATAATTTTGATGTCACTTTTCTCCTGTTAGAATACATTCTTTTTCTTAGAAAATTTCAGGTGACTCCTTTAACACTTTTACTATTTAAAAGACTACTTGTTAGTGACCCTTCTTTTTTTTTATTTTTATTATCTTTTTGACAAAGGTCAAACCATGAGACCCTTCTATAGTCAAATAAAGAATGTTTTTATTTTTCAAGGAAAGTGATTGTTTAGCTCTATTTTACAATGAACCAGAGGCAATTTAAGAAGGTTAAGTAACTTAGGGTCTCACAGTTTCTAAATGGTAAAATCATTCTTAAGCATAGCTTGTGACATACAACTCAAGTATACTTTGTTACACTACCTTACAAGAGTTTTTGCTCTTTAAGGATTATAAAATCAAAATATGCAAATATGAGTATAAATAAAAAATGAAATACTATTACACCAAAGCCATACATAGTTACCAGGAGTGGAGAAGAAGTAATGTATTTGAACTATTTATAAAAACCTAAAAAGTTAAATGTATAATTTCAAATTTTTGTGTACATTTATTTGACTTTAAGAATGAGTTAAATTCATTTTCTTCTATAGGTACCACAAGTTGATTTGGGGACCCTATAAAATGGATTCCAAAGGAGATGTCTCTGGAGTTCTGATTGCAGGTGGTGAAAATGGAAATATTATTCTCTATGATCCTTCTAAAATTATAGCTGGAGAAAAGGATGTTGTGATTGCCCAGAACGACAAGCATACTGGCCCAGTAAGAGCCTTGGATGTGAACATTTTCCAGGTTAGACTTTGACATTTATTTATAATTCTTAGACTATGTGCTGCTCATTAGAAATAAATATATGACTACTGTGCCTCAGTTTTGGAACTGAAAGCTTAAAAAAAATGTGTGGCTATACAGGTTGATGAGTGTTTTGTTGTTGTTTTATTTTATTTATTTTTGATGCAATGGCTCGGATCCGAACAAGTGTTTTTTAAAGAATTGTGGGTTCAGAGTTGAGATCAGGGTTAAAAATACTAACTCAGTGAAAAGGATCAGGCTGATAGATTTAAGTCTGAAGATGTCATGCCATTTGATGAGACATTTTACAAACATTAAGAACCCCATAGGTTGGAAACCTTGCCTTTTAAAAGTTTGTGCTAGGTCAGTGTTAGGCTGGTGCTATGATGTCCAGGTTAATTCACTGTTTTAATAATTGAGAAATTTTGTATTTATTACAAAGAGATTACTGCTTTGTGAAATAATTAGAAATTAAATGTAATGCAGATTTAACAAATGGTCAATTAAGATCTTTGTACTGTTGCCTTCATAAACATTACTGGATGTTAATTATATGAGTGCACAGCTTAATAAAGATCTTGGCCTGAACAAGATGGTAAAACCCTGTCACTATAAAAAATGCAAACAGGGTGGTTTGGGCGTGGTGGTTCAAACCCATAATCGCAGCATTTTAGGAGGCCAAGTTGGGTGGATTACAAGGTCAAGAGATTGAGACCATCCTGGCCAACATGGTGAAACCCTGTCTCTACCAAAAATACAAAAATTAGCTGGGCATGTTGGCACACGCCTGTAGTCCCAGCTACCTGGGAGGCTGAGGCAGGAGAATTACTTGAACCCAGGAGGTGGAGGTTGCAGTGAGCTGAGATCACGCCACTGCACTCCAGCCTGGTAAAAGAGCAAGACTGTCTCGCCGGGTGCAGTGGATCACGAGGTCAAGAGATCAAGACCATCCTGGTCAACATGGTGAAACCCCGTCTCTACTAAAAATACAAAAAATCAACTGGGCATGGTGGCGCGTGCCTGTAATCCCAGCTACTCAGGAGGCTGAGGCAGGAGAATTCCCTGAACCCAGGAAGCGGAGGTTGCGATGAGCCGAGATCGTGCCATTGCACTCCAGCCTGGGCAACAGAGCAAAGCTCTGTCTCCAAAAAAAAAAAAAAAAAAAAAAAGTTGGCCTGGCATGGTGGCTGACGGCTGTAATCCCAGCACTTTGGGAGACTGAGGTGAGTTGGTCATCTGAGATAAGGAGTTCAAAACCAGCCTGGCCAACATGATGAAACCCCATCTCTACTAAAAATACGAAAATTAATTGGGCGGGGTGGTAGGGGCCTGTAATCCCAGCTACTCGGGAGGCTGAGGCAGGAGAATCACTTGTACCTGGGAGGCGGAGGTTGCAGTGAGCCAAGGTCGAACCGTTGCACTCCAGCCTGGGTGACAGAGCAAGACTCCGTTTCAAAAAAAAAAAGTTAAATCATGTATGTCTATAAGCAGATATAGTAAATCACTAGATCATTTTTACAGAGATTTTAAAAATATCTACAAGCTTAAAAAATTATTTATACTACCCACTCTTATAAACATTGTCTCCTAGCCCTGTGCCAGAATCTCATTCCTATAGTAATTTAAGCATCTGCTCAATGGCATATGTGCTGAGATTTCAGCCACTAATGCAGCATTCACGAGCAAGACAATTGAAAAACATGCTTTTAATTTCTGTTATGTGGTTTCTTTGAGTCTTTTATTTTTGTATGTATAGTTACCATAAATGTATTTTCTGTAGGAACATCTGCTCAGCAATTGGATGCAACATTTAGTACCAGTGCTTCCCTTGAGATATTTGAATTAGATCTTTCTGATCCATCCTTGGATATGAAATCTTGTGCCACATTCTCCTCTTCTCACAGGTATGAGGTTCAGCTTTAAATTCATGTGATTAATAGTATATTGTTGTTGATTTCTAATTTATCCGTAAGTGTGCCATTTTAGAAACTACAAGGAATACCAGCAAGGACATGAAATATTTTGTCGATAAAAAGCATGTGAGTTAATTTTTATAGGAGTAAAAGTAGTGTTTATAAGTTNAAAAAAAAAAAAAAAAAAAAGCTAAAAACAGCTTAGGTGTTCATTGGTATTAGACTAGGTAATTATGATACGTTTTACAGCAGAGTACTATGTCATTTCAATATATTTACCTAAAAATAACAAAGATCTTTAGAAAGTACATAATACTACACCTTTCTAATTTTTCCATCAAATTAACCTTTTTTTTTTTCTGAGACCGAGTCTCTGTCACCCAAGCTGGAGTACAGTGGTACAATCTCAGCTCACTGCAACCTCCGCATCCTGGGTTCAAGTGATTCTCCTGCCTCAGCCTCCTGAGTAGCTGGGATTACATGGATGTGCCACCACGCTGGCTAATTTTCTTGTATTTCTGGTTGAGACAGGGTTTTGCTATGTTGGCCAGGCTGGTCTTGAACTCCTGGCCTCAAGTGATCCACCCAACCTCGGCCTCCCAAAGTGCTGGGATTGCAAGCATGAGCCACCACACCCGGCCCATCAATGTAACTTTAATGACAGAAAATATGTAAATAAGTGGTATATGGTATTATACCTTGAAATGACCAGTTTTCTGATAATTTCTACTTTATCTTTAAATTCTGTGAGCTTACAGTATTCTCTCTAATATGTTTTAATTTAGACTAAATTTTTAAAACTGCTCTTATCATTGAGTAATCCTACTCCAGGAAGTTGCACCTTATTTATTTTTTGCCTGCTCTTACCCATAATGTTTTGTTACCCATTCTTGTTTGATAAACATGTGTAGCAAAGTTAATTCTTCAGGTACTACCTTATTGTTTTTGTGGACTATTTTTCTAGACTGATTCAGCTGAAAAACTATAATCTGTAAACAGAATAGCCCTGTATTTGTCTCAAAATAGTTTATCAAGTTTGTCTACTTTCTAATATTGAACATTTCCAACAAATGACACCTAAACCAATTTGATTTATTTGCAGTTGGGCATTAATAATGTTGTAGTGGTTTGTTCAGTGTGTTTCTATGTAAAATATCTGTGTTTTGTGTTAGACATTCAAATCTATTTCTTTGTAAAATATTATCTTTAGCAGGATGAAGTTAAAGGAAGTAGATCGTACAGCCATGCAGGCATGGAGCCCTGCCCAGAATCACCCCATTTACCTAGCAACAGGTAAGTTCAAAGGAGAGAAGATAGTGTGAGTAACCTAATTTCTTCTCCTCTGCATCTAGCTTATTCAGTTTAATCTTTATCTTCTCTGGAAAGCCTGTCTCTCCCTGACAAGTTACCGACATTCTATCATCTGAGTTCAGTCAGTGTTCTTCTGTGTTCCCACAGTGTTTTGATCATGATAGGTTGCATCTAAAATATTTTCCTTACTTGACAGGAATTGTATTTTATCTTTATTTCCCTAGATGGCATGTAAAAAACAGTTAATATCAGCTTGAATGAATGAAGAACAATTTTGTTGTTAGCGTTTTCTTTTTTGAGACAGAGTCTTGCTTTGTCGCCTAGGCTGGAATGCAGTGGCGTCATCTCGGTTCACTGCAACCTCCGCCTCCCAGTTTCAAGTGATTCTCCTGCCTCAGTCACCTGAGTAGCTAGGACTATAGGCATATGCCACCACACCCAGCTTATTTTTGGATTTTTAGTAGAGACCGGGTTTCACCATGTTGGCCAGGATGGTCTGGACCTTGACCTCGTGATCCGCCCTCCTCAGCTTCCCAAAGTGCTGGGATTACAGACGTGAGCCACCATGCCTGGCCAATGTTAGCATTTTTATATAAAAAGGATTAGTTGGCTGGGCTCAGTGGCTTATGCCTGTAATCCCAGCACTTTGGGAGGCCAAGGCGGGTGGATCACAAGGTCAAGAGATCGAGACCATCCTGGCCAGCTTGGTGAAACCCCGTCTCTACTGAAAATACAGAAATTAGCTGGGCGTAGTGGTGCAAGCCAGTTGTCCCAACTGCTCGGGAGGCTGAGGCAGGAGAATAGCTTGAACCTGGGAGGCAGAGGTTGCAGTGAGCTGAAATCGCACCGCTGCACTCCAGCCTGGGCAACAGAGCAAAGCTCTGTCTCCAA